AATCATTTAATTTTTTTTTAATTTTCCTTTTTTGTGGAGAGTACAGGCTATTTTACTGTCGGGCTTGATCGACTATAGCGTTCTCTCTTGTTTATACTTTGTACATGAAATGTACAAGAGTATACTAGGTTTGCGAGAGCTGAAAAATGTAACAGGTATAAGGAGGCGTGGCAGACCCCAGAAAGTATATATATTATTGATCAGCATGACAAGACGAGTCGATCTAGCACTGTCTGTCTGTCCGTCTGTCAGTATGAACACCTGGATCTCAGAGACTATAAGAGCTCGAGACGCAAGGATGCGTTATGTGTGTACGCTGTGCAAGTTTGTTTTATTTTTTCGATTTTCCCCCCACTTCCCCCCTATGGGGGGTTTTCCGATTTTCCATTCTTATAACTGTAATAAGTGTTGAACATTAAGTGCCAAATGTTAAACAACACTGGTTAGGCGAAGTTAAAAGAAGAACCTAGTTCGTTCCTCAGTTGATCGTCAACCACCAAATAAACCAGACGCACAACAACTAAGCTTATAATTAATAAACTTGTAAATTATAAACAGCTTGTTTTATTAATAAGCACAAGCTTATTACATGGTGTCAGAAGTGGGATAAACGCTGAGACGCATGAAAGTATATCAAAGCAACGATATTAAAATTGAAAATTTCATAAAGGAAAGACTGCAAGCAGCGAACTTCAGCGGAACTGGAAGCAAAAGCTGAATCATAAAGCACGCGGTAAAATTCAATAGAATTGGAAAAACAGCTGTAGTAGTGGAATCCAATAATAATCGAAAAAAGCGATAAGCATCGAAATCATCAGGAAGCATCGGAACGAAATAAGAAAAATTGGAATTAAAATAATCGGAAAATCAAAACAAATTGTAAACAATGGGGACAAGTGAGCGGGCAATAAAAGAGCTGGATGGAGTCGCTTTTCATCATCCGAGCCGAGAGGTCGTAATTTGGAAAAAAAGACTGCTTACCCCATTCAACCGTCACTTTTGACATCTCTTTTTTTTTTTTTTTTCTTTCTTTCTCCTTCCAATTTTAATTTTCCATCCCGAAGTCAAAAATTGAAAATCACGGAATCAAGAAACAAGTTAAAAAGAAAAATGGCAACCAAGCGCCCCCCTCCCGGGGGCGTCAGCAAATCCAAAATCACTACCAAACCACTAGGCTTATCCAAACAGGCAAATTATCCTTCTATCAACGAACTTAAGAAGTCAATTAAAAGTATCGAACCGACCAAACAATTAAGCATGGAGGTTATTGAGGAAAATAGTCAAGAAAATGAATCAATGAATCAAGAAAAATCTCAAAATCCTATTGTCAGGTATGAATATGACTCAGCACATAAAGGTGCTTTCATAGTCTATGTTGACAAACGTCAAACGGGCACGGAAAGGGCACCGATAAATGCTATCAGCTTATCGGCAGTTATACATAAACTTAATCTTAATGGAATTGTCGATATCAGTAAAATAGGATTTGGCAGATGCAAAATCACGTGTAGCTCTGCAGAAGGTGCAAACGCCCTTCAAAAAGACGTTCGCTTAAGAGCAGAAGGCTATGATCCAAAAATTTTCAAACATTTTATCTGTAAAGCAGGGTTAATTTTTGGAGTCCCTACTAATTTCAATGATGTCGACCTAAAAGAATTTATCTCTTCGCCCATCCAAATTATTGAAATTTTCAGAATAATGAGAAAAGACAAAGACAACAAAGAACTTCTCGTCCCCACAAACAGAGTGAAACTCTTCTTTCTAGGAAATCAAATTCCGAATGAAGTAAGTTTTATGTACACCAAAGTCAAAGTACACCCCTTCATTCCTTTCTCACAATGCTACCGCTGCTTCAGATTTGGCCACTTTGCACAGCACTGCAAATGCAGCCAAGCAAAGTGTATTAAGTGTGGGGAAAGCCACGGCAAGGACATTGTATGTACTGACACAAGATGCTGCAACTGCAAGGGGGAACACACTGCAATCCATACCAGCTGCCCAGCCAGAAAGAAGGCATTTGCCATCCAAAAATGTATGGCACTAGAAAATCTATCAAGACAAGAAGTGCGTGCTAAATATCCATCCCTTTTTCATAAAGAAGCTCCCGACCACCTAAATGAACAGGCCTTTCCCAAACCTATATGGTCCAACTCAATTGTAACTAATACTTATGACAGCAACAAAGAGGCTGCCAGAGAAATCCACTCCCCAACTTCCTTCGCCAATACTGTAAAAAACAATAAAAACAAAATTAGGAAAAACGAAAAAGCTCTTGCCACCATGAATGAATGGAGGCAAACTATCACAAACTATCATCCCCATAAAATATCCCGAACAAATTGCCGAGAAAGAACTAACACAGGTGTTACTTCAACTTTCGGCATTCATCGGCAAACAAAATAACAATTTCGAAGAGGCCGACACCAAAACCTTTCTGTTAAAATTAAGAGATCAACTCAATTACGCTAACGCAAAAATAGATGCAGCCAAAATAAACGACCAAATACTTCCATTCTCAACCACAAATACACCATGAAAATCTTACAATTAAATATTCAGAGTTTAATAAGTAAAAACAATAAAAATATTCTGGAAATGTATCTCGTTAACAACAACATTGACATAGCGATCTTATCAGAAATTTGGATTAAAGATAATTCATCCAGCAGTTTGGCCGATTTTAACTTTTTCTGTAAGACACGAGATGATGGATACGGAGGAGTTGGTATATACATTAAAAAACATATTAAATTTAAACTGCTAAATCTCAAATGTTCAATAGAAGCAATAGGAATTCAAACTTTAAACCTCTCCAACAACATCAACATTTTCAGTGCCTATTCCCCCCCTTCCACTAATCTCATCACCTTCAAAACTGGTATAAAAGAACTATTTGCTATAAGCGCCTCTCTAACACATCCATCAATAATAGGAGGAGATTTTAATGCTAAATCTACCATATGGGGAACTTCATCCACAGACGCCAAAGGTCATACAATAGAAAGAGCCATGATTGACAACAAATTCATATGCTTAAATGACGGATCACCCACCTACTCACATAGCCCAGTACAGTTTTCCTTCCTTGACCTCACTTTCTCCAACGCTACAAATCTACATATTTCCTGGCAAACCTCCAATAACAAACTAACGAATAACAATCACTTCCCAATACTCATTGAAATTAATTCTACTCATATCAACGTTCTAACCAAAAAAACTCTATACAATAAATTATCCAAGGACTTTGGACAACTTAACTTCTCCAATCTCAACAAACTACATTCAGATTTAAAAAAAATACAAATTCAAAATACCATCACAATTCCAACTAACAATAGATATACCCCAAAAAAATGGTGGAACCCAGAGGCCGAAAAACTCTTCAGAATCAGAAATGCTTGCAGGAAAAAATTTTATTTAACTAAAAAGTTCACCGACGCCAGACTTCTTATCGAAGCAGAAAAAAACCTGGAGAAACATATAAATATCTGTAAAAAGAAAAATTTCAGCAACTTCCTTCAAGAGCTCTCTGATTCTCCACAGATTATGTGGAATAAACTAAAAAACCTGAAAAGCTACAAACAAATCAAGAAAGTTGGTAACAGCTGGTCCAAAGATGATAACGAATCTTTCCTCAAGCTTTTGAAAAATATTCCAACTATCACAAGCAACACTACACAGTTTAATCCAGCAAATCTCCATCTGAGCGAGACCCCTCCCACTCCCCTGCTTTTTGAAGACTTCCTTTTTTTCCTAAACAATAAAAATCCAGAATCCGCAAAAGGCCTGGATGGGGTGTCCTACAAACTTCTTCAATCTCTAACCTCCGAAAAAAAGAAAGATATATTCAACATTATAAACAAAACATGGCTGAAGGGTGATATTCCAGAGGAATGGAGAAAAATCAAAATAGTACCAATCCCGAAGAAAAGCTTGGACCAATCAAGCGTCAAAAATTATAGACCCATTTGCCTACTCAGCGTTCTCCTAAAGTCACTGGAAGGACTTATAAAGTTCCAAATAGACGAACACATTAACTCATTGAACCTTTTCCCTAAAAGATCCTACGCCTTCCGAAAAAACCACTCAACATCACAATGCATTAACGACCTAATAAACATAACATCAGACCTCAAACAAAAAGGTTACCAAGTGGTGGCTGCATGCGTTGATCTTCAGAAGGCATTTGACTGCGTGGATATCTCCATTCTATCCAATAAATTGCAAAAAATGAACTTCAATCCTCACATTATAGCCTGGATCATAGGGTTCCTTCAAAAAAGAATTTTAATTCTTGGTGACAGCAGCACTACAATCAACAGAGGAGTCAGTCAAGGCAGCTGTCTCAGTCCAACTCTTTTCAACCTCTACACAAAGGACCTGCACAGAATAACAGATTCAAACTGCATTTTATTTCAATTTGCTGACGACTTCTTTTTCCTATGCTTCCACCCGAACTTCATCGTAGCACGAAATCTCTTAGAGGAAAAAATCTCAACCTTTGTACAGGAATGCAAAAAAATTAACCTCTCATTTAACCCAAACAAATCCAACATCATACACTTCAACTCTCGCAGACATCTTTTAAACATCTCACACGCAGGAGAACCTTTAAAAGAAGTTCACCAAATAAAATACTTGGGAAGATTCGTTTCAGCAAACAATTCCCCAATTTCCCACATAACTCAAGTCATCTCAAACTCCAACAAGTCATGCGCCTTTCTAAGGTTGTTGAACGGATGCCAATTTGGGGTGAATCCCAAACGCGGTTCTGTAAAAGAACATTCATAAGATCAAAGTTGGAATACGCTTGCTCATCCTTCAGCAACCTCTCGAAAAAAGCTACAGACAAGATCGCCGTACACACGAACTTTCATCTAAGAAGAGCACTGGGGTTGATTAAATCAACTCCAATCAATATCATCTACCACCTAGCAGCAGAGCTGCCCCCAAAATACAGAATGAAATTCTTAACAGCCAAAGAACTGGTCAAAGTCTTCGCGTACAATTTACCGGCTAGCAAAACTTTACTTCACAATTCATCATGCAATACAAACTATGCAAAAATATACAACGAATTTTCACATATTCTAAACCATATCCAACTCCACGACAACACATATATCTACTGCTTCAAGCTCTGCACGGACACAAACTTCTTTAAAGGATCGGCAACAAACAAACATCAAGCGAATCCGAACATAATCCATCAGCTATTCCAAGAAAAACTAGAAGGCCTCCAAAAAAGGAATTTTGAAGTTTTCTTCACAGACGGTTCAGTAACTAATACTCACTCCAGCGCTGCATTCCTCCACAATAACTCCAAGTTCATCGACAGTTTCTATACCAACAAAATTACATCGTCGCTCACTGCAGAACTGATTGCAATAGACAAAGCCTTAGATCATGCCATATCTCACAATTATTCAAATATAGCCATCCTTACAGACAGCCGCAGCGGCATTCAGGCCCTTCAGAAATCCATTCAACCCAGCTACATTGCCAAAACCATCCTACTGAAAATAAAAGAGAATAATCAAATCCGCTCCGTTGAGATCCACTACATACCTGGTCATAAAGACATTCCCCAAAACTCTTTGGTAGATGCCGCCGCAAAAGTGGCCCCCTTTCATGGATCATTTATAATAATGAGATGGTCAGTCAACGACGCTATCAACTCAATCCGCAAACTAATCCAAAACCAATGGGAAACAGAATACTGGAACTTCGCAGCCAACAGAAATAGAGGTTACACCGCACTTTTCCCCAGCCTCGTGAAAATACCTTGGTTTCATCAATATAAAGGCGAGCTCTCAAGCGCAGAATGTAAACAAATAAACAGGCTCTTATCAGGCCACTGCTTTGATAAAGCAACACTAGCCAAAATGAAGGTGATAAACTGCAACACATGTGACGCATGTGAAGTGGTGGAAAACGCCTCGCATATAATCTTCAGCTGTATAAAATATACCACTACAAGACAGCAATTCCCAACACTGCTAAAGTACAACAGCATTTATAACTTTTTTGCTAACGAAAATACCAGCTCATACAAATCAATCACACAATTTCTAAACACAATTAAGTCTAATATTTAAATGTTAACATCGTACTAAAAACACAATTGGTGATGGCGTTTTCCTCGTAACCAACGTGGACGGCCAAATAATTCTTTGCATTAAACTGTGCAAAGTAACCTAAATCAAAAAAAAAAAAAAAAGAGCTGGATTGTAGCAATTTATTAACGGAATGGCCAAGATGGAAACAGGAGTTCTTAATGTACTTGATGGCGACTGGCAAATCAACGGAACCGGAAAAGAGAAAACTTGCAAACTTCTTGTGGCTAGTGGGAAGAAAAGGTACACAAATCTACAACACAATGTACCCGAATGATGGTACACAGAATTCTATGCTTGGAACAGTAACAACGGAAAGCAGTGTTCAGCAACGCACAATGGAGGAGGTGCTTAAAAAGTTTGATGAATTTTGCCTACCACAACGAAATAATGCAATGGAGTCTTACAAATTCAACATGATTACACAAAAAGAGCGTCAACCTTTTAGTGAATTTGAAACAAACTTGCGGGAACAGCTACATCATTGTGAATTCGTATGTGAGTGTGGCAAATCATACGAAAACCGAATGCTGCGTGACGGTATTATCGGAGTGCATGACAAAAAACTACAACTGAAACTTCTGGACGGGCGTGATGAACATTTGTCAAAAGTCATTGATACTTGCAAAGCACCTGAAGCAGCCTCTATCACTAAAGGAATACTGGAAGGAAACCAGTCGGTTAATATCATCAAAGACGACGGACCTGTAATTAATGCGATTAATAGAGTTTGCTTCAACTGCGGGGGACCATGAAAATTTGGTCACAAAGACGAATGCAAAGCAAAGGACATAACGTGTCATCGTTGTGCAAAAAAGGGTCATTTCCAAAGGATGTGCCGAAAGCAGAAATCTCAAACCATGGGCGTGAAGACAGCAAGCCAGAAGGAAAACAAGAACGAAGGAGGTATGGCAGGCTCTAGTAGCAATAATTCACAAGGTAACAAAAGCAACGGGTTTATTAATCAACGGGTATTCTTTTAGAATAAATTCAATCGGAGTAAAACACAAGAGGTGGACCAAAGACTATCAGATAGGCGGACAGATAGTTACATTTAAGCTAGACAGCGGATCCGATGTAAACTGCATTCAAAGAAATCTACTTGAAAAACTTAAAAAGGAAAATAATCTTAAGCTTAATTATGAATTGAATGAAATGTTGGTTTTGGATTATAATGGCAACAAGATAAAAGTATATGGAGCAGTACAGCTACAATGTTATGATTTAAAACTAGAAATTGAGCAAATGATTAAGTTTATAATTGTAGCCGATAACTGTGAGCCGATATTAGGGTTAGAAACGTGTGAAGAGTTAGGATTAATGAAACGAATGGATGTAAATAGTATTAAACATCAGTATGAAAATAGGGAGTCTTTTGTAAATACGTATAGGAATGTTTTTAACGGAATCGGAAAGTTTCCAGGAACTGTAAGAATTCAATTAACTGAAAATGCTAAGCCAGTGCTTCATTATAAGAAACGGATACCGAACTCATTAACAGACAAATTAAAAGCAGAACTAGACACAATGCTGGAAAACGATATTATATCAAAAGTGGAATATCCTACCGATTGGGTGAACAACTTGCAAATAATTGAACTAGTATAGCCTTTCACCCTTTGGGTACAGGCTATAAAAACCATGTGGAAAACTTCGAATTTGTCTTGATCCCAAGCCACTAAATTTATGTATTAAGCGAGAGCATTTCCTCATTCCCACCATTGATGACCTAACAAGAAAATTAGTGGGTCAACGGATTTTTTCGGTATTTGACTTAAGCAGTGGGTTTTGGCACATGGAATTAGATAAAGCAAGCTCGGATTTGACAACCTTTATGACTCCTTTTGGGAGTTTCAGATTTAAACGTGTACCATTCGGTCTCAATTGTGCACCGGAAATGTTTCAACGGAAAATGGTCAATATTTTCGGGGATTTACCAGGAGTTATGGTATACTTTAACGATTTAGCCATCTGTGCAGAAAGTAAGGAAGAACATGATCAGATTGTCCGATTGATTATGGAGAGGGCACGTATAAATGACGTATAATTTAATCCAGACAAAATTCAGTATTCTTGTACTGAAATCAAGTTCATGGGAAACGTTATATCGGAGGGAAAAATAAAGCCGCAGGTTAAATACAGGGATGCAATTCTCAAAATAAGGAAGCCTCAGAATAAATCAGATGTTTTGAGATTTTTCGGCCTTCTGAAGTATAGCCAGATACATTCCGAATCTCTCAAGGCAATCGGCTAATTTGCGAAACTTGACAAAAAACGATACGGATTTCAATTGGACTGCAGAACATGAAAAAGAATTTAATAACCTATTAGCCATTGTAACGGAAGAGCCAGTTTTGGCTATATATGATCCGAAACTCCCAGTGATTGTACAAACAGATGCATCCAAAGACGGACTGGGCTGTGTAATAGTGCAAAATGGACACCCTGTGGAGTTCGCTTCACGAACTCTCAGTGGCAGTGAGCAAAAATGGTGCCAGCTGGAAAAAGAACTATTAGCAGTTGTGTTTGCATGCCAGCGGTTTCATTTCTTTTTATATGGGCGCGAATTCACTGTTGAGAGTGACCATAAACCATTAGAGACATTGGTTAAGAAGGATATTGACGATGTTACCATGCGACTTCAACGAATGTTTATGTTCTTATTGAAATATGCAAAAATGACTATTGCTTCTAATCCAGGTAAAGAAATGCTTGTGGCAGATTGCTTATCTCGTGCTCAATTGCCAGACATATCTGAGATTGAAGGGTTATCAGGGGTTATTCACTCGGTTATAAAGTCAGTTTGTGTAACCAAGGATAATTATGATCTTTATGAAAAGGGATTAGAGGAAGATGAAAAATATTAACGTATCTGCTCATTTGTGGCTAACGGCCAGGATACCATCATCTTGATGACCTGGGCAAGCAGTTTCACGCTATCAAATCTGAATTACAGTTTGAAAGTGGGTTATTGTTTTGGAATCACAGGGTTGTCATACCCTGCAAAATGCAACACAAAGTTTCCCAATGGTTGCATGAACCTCATCTAGGCATAGAGAAAACACTCTCACGTGCAAGAATGCTTTATTATTGGCCTGGTATGAACAAACAAATAAAAGAACTTATAGAATCGTGCAGTGTTTGTGAACAATTCAGGAGAAATAATCAAAAGGAACCGTCATATAATCAAAGTATTAACATCAATATTTGATAAAATCGGATACCCAACTATCATTAAAAGTGATAATAGTCCCTTTGGCTCAGCAGAGTTCAGAGATTTTTCAAGCAACAGTAATGTTCAATTAAAATTTTCAAGCCCCAGGTATCCACAAAGTAATGGCCTAGCAGAAAAAGGTGTGGCGATTGCGAAAAACATATTAAAAAGATGTTATGAAGCTAAGGATGTAGAGAATTTTCAATATCGAATACTTGAATATAATACAACTCCAATAGCCAGCATGAAACTAACACCAACAGAACTATTTTTTGGCAGACTACTCAAGACCAAACTCCCAGTATCGGATTCGTTGTTGATTAGGAATAACTTAAAGGAGACAGACATTCAAGACAAATTAAAAAAGAAAAACAAAAATACTATTATGACCGCAGTGCAAAATCACTAGCTTTATTAAATATTGACGATGTGGTTATTTTTAAGAAAAATGGTAATGAATGGCATTATGGAAAAATTGTGGGAGTTGTAAATGACCGTTCATATATTATTAAGGATACATTTAACAGCCATTATAGACGCAATCAGCGTTTTATTGCTAAGACCACTCATAAGGACTTAAACACAAATGAAATAAGTTTTGAAAATAATATCAAGTCAAATAACACTGGAAACGATAATAATAATCAGAGTTGGCCTGAAATACAAATCGTTGAACCTAAGGACAACATATCTAATAGGGACAACAATAGTACAATAAAAGAAAAATATATAATTGTAGACAGTCCAGACTCAAGTGAATCAGAGGATAAATTTGTAACAGCATCTGGTTCGGAGGCAAACGACGAAGAACCTATAAGTCCTTGCTACCGAACCAGAAGTGGCAGATCTGTACGACCACCTGAGCGGTATAGAGACATAGAGTGGTCTTAAGTTAGTTAAGTTAATTTAATTAATTAAAAAAAAAGAAAAGAAAAAAAAGAGAAAAGCATGTAATAAGTGTTGAACATTAAGTGCCAAATGTTAAACAACACTGGTTAGGCGAAGTTCAAGAAGAACCTAGTTCGTTCCTCAGTTGATCGTCAACACCCAAATAAACCAGACGCACAACAACTAAGCTTATAATTAATAAACTTGTAAATTATAAACAGCTTGTTTTTTTAATAAGCACAAGCTTATTATAATAACCGCCCATATCTCGGACACTATAAGAGCTAGGGACACGAACTTTTAGTCAGAGATGCCTTATGTGAATCGCAGAAAAAACATTTTGGAATTTCTCTCCCTCCCGTGTTTTTATACCCTGTACCCAAAGGGTACAAGGGTATATTAGTTTTGTGCGAGTGCACATGGAACACACAGAAGGAGGCTTGGTAGACCCCACAAAGTATATATATTCTTGATCAGCATGACAAGCCGAGTCGATATAGCCATGTCCGTCTGTCCGTCTGACCGTCTGTCCGTCTGTCTGTCCGTCTGTCTGTCCGTCTGTCTGTCTGTATGAACGCAAGGATCTCCGAAAGTATAAGAGCTAGAATAACCAAACTTGGTATACAGATTCTCCTGAGACCGAGAAAGGACGAGTTTGTTCATTTTTTCTGATCCAACCCCCCACTCCCCCCCTATTACCAATTTTCTATAACTCCCGTAATTCTTGGAATTGAGAACTAAAATTTGGTAGTCACATTAGGTTAGTAGTTATATATCCGTATACCAAGTTTCATTATGATAGAATGATCGGAAAGAAAGTTATAGCCATATAACCAGGCCCAATGCACACATACATACATATGTACAAGTACACAAACACGCATAAGGCACGATTCTGATGTAAATGTAAATGTATGTATGCATGCATGGAATATTTTATATTTAATTAGTTAATATTTAGTTAATTAATTAAATTAATTTAGTTAATTAATTAAATTAATTAATTAATTAAATTACTTTTTTGTGGGGTGGTACAGGGTATTTAAGAGTTGAGCCTGCTCGACTTTAGCATTCCTTTCTTGTTTTGGAATTGTTCATTGAAATTCGAAAAATACCCTCAGTTATTGATTATAAGTTTGTATGTTGTCTATGTCTAAGTTTCATCATGATAGGCCGTTTTAACAGGAAGTTATATATACACATATGTACAGAGTATTTCACAGTCGGGACACCCGACCTTAGCTTCTCTACTTGATATATATATAGAAGAAGATATGAATATGTTTGTATATATACAGTGGACCATCAAACACTGTTTAATTGTAAAATAAATGAAATATTTAAAACGAAAAGCAACAACGGCACCTGATTGTCATTGGCACGTTCTTATTCTTTCGTTTACGTTTTTTGAATATCTACGCCAGCGATGTGTACCCAGACGCACAAGCAAAAGATCGATCGCGAGCGAACTTACAAAAACAAAATACATGCAGTTGTCGCCAGCCAGACGCACAAGCAGATTGATGGAAAAACAAAATACAGGTAGTGCGTGTGTCGTTGCTCGATTTGCGGTAGAATTTACTCAGAACTCTACCATATTCTGATTCGCATTGCGGGTAAATGTATGTATGTTTGTGTGTACATATGTATGTATATGATTTGTTCTAATTGGTCTCAATAAATTATAAGATGTTATTATTTAGATATTCTGTTTATTGCATTCAAACTTCGATGTATCGATATCAATAGTATCGGTGGATTAAACTATCGAAAGTTTTACTCTAACAAATTGAGATGGGCATTGTCAGTGCTTTTTGATCGTGGCTCATCGCTGCACAAATGACACGAGAGACGTGTTTCATATTCCGAGTTCGTGCGTGATCGTAGTTACTCAATAAGGCACGAAAAGACACAAATGTGAATTTAAAACGCGAAAGGAATGCTAAAGTCAAGCAGATTATACTCTTAAATATCTTGTACCAAAAAAAAAAAAATTTTATAAAAAATTTAATTAATTAAATTAAATAATTAAATTAAATATAAAATATTCCAAACATGCATGATGTAAATGTAAATGTATGACATTTACATCAGAATCGTGTCTATGCGTGTTTGTGTACTTGTACATATGTATGTGTATGTTACATAATTATGTCAAAGCAGCAACAAATACAGCTGCGGACAGAGCTTGGGCCCGGTTAGGATAGGGCTCCGCAGTGGTGACTGGGTTAGTAGAATTTGGCAACCTAGTATATATATACAAATATATATATATATGGGCATTTCCACAGAAATGTCAACCGCAGCCAAAAAATTCAAAGTCCTTAAAATTATGATGTTTTAACATATTTGTATAGAGAATCTATCAAATTTAACTAATCTAATCAAATTTTACATTTATTCATAACACATTTCGAAAAATTCAAATGCAAAGTCGAACAACTGCAAAAGTTAAGTTTTGAACACATATGTTGCACTTTTTGTTTTGATTACTGTTCTTAATGAGAGACGTCATGCGTTGATATTTGCTCTTTTAAATATTGTTTGTTATTTAGGCAATATAAGAAAAATGTAAAAGGAACGATGCGATTGCCAATTACGGTAAATTTTTAACTCTGCTTTAAGGTATACTTCAATGTCGCGTGCGACATCGAAAAAGTACATTTGTTATCAGAGCGTCAAAGGTGTTTGTACAAGGAGCGTCAAATATTAGCTGCAAACACAGTTTTTTATTGCAAATAATATTTTAAAAATTTTGGGCGAAAATAATCAACGCTTTGGTCGCAGAACTTATTTAAAGTTTGTCGCGTGCGACATCGTAAGTGCAAAATGTCTAAATAAAAAAATCAAAAAAAATCTAAAACAGCTTTATTTGTATATATACATACAAAATATCACTTTTAAAATGTAGATGAGTAAGAACGGAGCCGAGAAAAATAAGTCTAACTGCAAACGGTGGAGAGAGAGGTTAAAGGATGATGAAGCAAAATTACAAAATTATAAATTGAAAAACAAGGAAAGAATGCGCAATTTGAGGAAGAGATGGAAAGAGCAGGCTGAAGGTAAAGAAAAAATAATTGAAGAGCGGCGGATATATAATCGCACACGCCAACGAGAGAGACGCCAAAAAGTCTTCGAAAATGAAATATCAGGCGCTCGTCAAAGTCAAACCGCACCTTACGAATGTAGACAAACCTTGGCGAAAGCGGTAAAAAAAAGTGGAAAAAGCGATGCCAAAGAACATACACAAAAGAGTTAAAGTTTTTGAGGTCCTGATCAAAAAGTATAAGCAGAATTTAGGAAACGAAAACGTAAACCAATCTAGCCAAATAGTGTCAGTTAATGCCATCAATGATTTTTATCAGAATGATAATGTTCCATCAGTTAGAAGGAGCTAGGACTGCATATTCCATTTAAAAAAATATATATTTGGCATAAGTAATGCTATTAAGTTCAGTTAGTTTCTGGTATTCTTATATATGTAGATGAATATACTTGTACTTATTTTTGTTTTTTCTTTATTGAAGAAAATTTGTTATAATTTTTATTTTGAAAAAAAAAGTATATATAAAAATCATTTATAATCTTCTTATGTATTTCTAACTGCACATAAATAAAAAAAAAAACATTAAAAGTATGATGGAAGAAAATGTCGCGTGCGACATGTCGCGTGCGACAGGGGTTAAAAATTAAATAATAAATAAACCACCTAATATTTTTGAATGAAATAAAAAGCATTATTAAGATACATCAATGCGAAACATCTTAAAGTTATACGCATTAAAATTTTCCTTCTGGTTTCGCTGAAATCAGTGTTTGAACTGTTCGCCGAAAAAGCGACTTCTATATATGTCGCGTGCGAATGCCTTGGTTTTTTTAAATTATCTCAAAAACTAAACAATCCCCAAAATCCACCTTAGCACCAACAATAGAGCTAGTCAAGAGCTATAACTTTCTCCTTTTGTGAAAACAAAATTATGTTTTGGCATATGTTTTTTTTCACTTTGAATGCGTACGAATGTCGTGTTCGACATCAGAGAAATGCCCATATATCAGAGAGTCCAGCAAAGATGGGCAACACCTGCTAATAAACTATATAAAAGGTGTGTTCCAAAGTAAACAGGACTTTAAAAAAAAAAACAGAACAAATGGTTTTTTCGGCAAAATCAATTTATTTTATTCAAAATAGTCTCCTTCTGCTTCAATACAGCTTTTTGCACGATCCAAAAGCATGTCGAACGAGTGTTTTAGCTCGTTGGCCGGTATGGCCGCCAGTATGCCGGTGCAAGACTTTTGAATGGCCTCTACGTCTCCATAACGCTTTCCTTTCATGGGCAAATGCATTTTTCCGAAAAGGTAGAAGTCGCACGGTGCCATATCAGGTGAATACGGCGAGTGGTTAATGGTTAAAATGTGATTTTTAGTCAAATAATCGTTCACAAGCGTCGATCGATGAGACGCGCGATTTTTTGGGTTTCGGCTCGTCCGGTGCCTTCCATTCAGCACTCTGGCGTTTCGTTTCGGGATCATATTGGAAACACCACGTTTCGTCACCAGCCACAATATTGTAAAGGAAGTTTTTGTCCTTTTTGAATTCTTTAATGATGTGCTTCGAATGTTGGATTCTGAGCAATTTTTGGTCGTCAGTCAATTTGTGCGGAACAAACCGTGCACACACCTTTCGTAAGCCCAAATGTTCGGTCAGAATGCGATAAATCGATGCTTTGGAGATGTTCAATTACATTTCCATCAATTTCAATGATGATTTCGGCTGATTTTTGATGAATTCACGCACAGTTTCGATGGAATTTTCGATGATCACGGATTTTGATTGGCCCACATGTTGATCGTCATTTATGACCTCACGACCACTTTGAAAACGTTGAAACCACTCGTGCACTCTGCTATGGGATAGACAATCATCGCCATAAACTTGTTCCATCAATTGAAACGTTTCGGTAAAAGTTTTACCAATTTTAAAAAAATTTATTGTTGGCTCTTTGTTCGAAGCTCATTTTCGCACCGATAACACAAACATACTGACACTTAAAACGCAATAACTTCACTTTCAATCGATGAAATGTCATGAAATCATTGTAATTTTTCTGTTTTGTGGAGAGTACAGTACTGTCGGGCTTGCTCGACTGTAGCTGTTGTATATCCTCATATACATAAAATAGCTTTTAACCATTCGCACTTGTTAACGTTGCTCCAGTACTCATTGTCAATGTACTCATTCACATATGCCACTAACAAAATACTCATACACAGTCAGTCTAGAATAAACGCTGATTCTTGCAACTAGACTCAAACATCTCTCGCATCATTTATTGCTCGGCCACCCCAAACACAACTGGCGACGAGGATAAACTAATTATATCGATTCGTAGACTTATCAATAGTGACGAAGTTGATTAAAACAAAACATTGCCCAATTCATCAATTGGTAACGCGTAAAAAAATACACACAATTACTTGTATACATATTTCGCCGCAATTCTCGGAATTGTGTATTTCATCAGTCGTGTTGGTATACATACACACAAACGTACATCAAAATGCCAAACGAAGTCAATGAAAACAGTAATTTACAACAATTACTTCAGCAGCAGCAACAATTTGCAAAAACTATGTTAGAACAGCAACAACAATGGATGCAAGAGATTTTAAAAAACAATGCTAGTGTTTCAAGCCGCTCCGCGGGTGATTCGACTAATTGTCCGCATTTCCACAATTTCAATTGGGATCCGATACCTCCAACAATTAAGCCAGCATTTGCAAGCATACTCAGTAAATGACGTTGAAAACAGAAGGCGTATTTTCTATCCTGGATTGGTGCCGACGTGTTCGAGTTATTAAAAAACTTATTTGGCAGCGAAGACCTGCTTACGTATACATACACACAATTGATCGGTAAGTTAACGGAACATTTCCAGTTTAAGCGACATGTTATTGCCGCACGCTATGAATTTTTCAAACGGGAGATGAAGCCCTCACAAACACACAAAAAATGGGTTGCCGATTTACGTGGAATAGCACGCCAGTGTAAATTTGTCTGTCTAGCACCAGGATGCTCAGCTAATTTAGTAGACGAAATGATTCGTGACCAAATTATAGTGCATACGTCATTCGATCCAATACGTTCAGCAGCTTTGCAAAAGTTACAACCGACATTGGAAGATGTGCTCATAATTGCCGAAAGTTATGAGACAACAACCAAAACCGTTGCTACACTTAAGAACGAGAGCGAAAAGCATATTCCAGTGAACGCAGTGCACACACGCACATACGCAAACAAGAAGAAAACAGTTAGAACTGGAAACACACAAAACGCATTACAATCGTGCTCTGGCTGTGGACACTCTCATGCAAGAGAGAACTGCAAATTTCGTCATGCCCAATGCAATCATTGCGGTAGAAAGGGACACATAGCTGTCGTTTGCAAGTCCAAGCAACAGAACAAAAATGATCATAAGGTACGAAGGGATGATCATAGCAAAACCGTCAACGACGCACAACGTTTTCGTCAGCCAGAAATTATACACAGTGTAACAGGTATAGTGAAATTTGATTCAAATAAAAACACTATTGAAGTCGAAATTTTGCATAAATTTATAACATTTCAAATGGATTCAGGTGCAACCGTTTCAGTTATAAATTTACAAACATATCAGCAAATTAACAGCCCAAAGCTGCAAAAGAGCAACAAAATATGCACGCCTTCGGTAAGCAACCAATTCCAATATTAGGTGAGCTACACACTGTCGCAAAATGTGGTAATAAAGAAGACAAAATAACATAAATAGTCGCAAATGTCGAGAGCGCAAACAATCTTTTTGGCTTAGATTTATTTCAAACATTCGGTTTTGAAATTCATCAAGTGGCAAACTTGGTTGAACAATACGCGCCTCAAATATCTGTTCTGTGTACTAAATACAAGGAAGTTTTTGAACCGGCTCTGGGAGTAATCAAAAACTTTAAGGCAACCGTCACATTGAAACAAAATGCACCGCCAAAATTCTTCAAATCAAGACAAATACCTTTCGCTCAACTAGCAGATTTCAAAGCAGAATCTGAACGCCTTACAAACGCAGGTATTTGGAATGGGGCATCACCTATTGTTTTAGCTCCGAAACCGAATGGAACAGTACGAATTTGCGGTGATTTTAAACTAGCTGTCAACGCGCAAATTGACATCGAACAATACCCTTTGCCTACACGAGAGTCGTTGTTACACACCGTTCGTCGTGGTACACATTTTTCAAAGATTGATCTCAAAGACGCCTATCTACAAATGGAACTAGACGACCCATCTTAGCAATTTATGGTCGTGAGTACACCTTTGGGTCTTTTTCAATATCAACGATTACCTTAGGGTATAGCTAGCGCTCCTGCTATTTTCCAACGTTACTTAGAACAACTTCTAAATGGCATAGAAGGTTGTGGTAACTATCTCGACGATATAATTATAACGGCCCCAACAGTAAAATAACACATTAGTCGTGTGGAACAAGTCTTAAAGGTTCTACAAGATAATGGTGTTAGATGCAAAAAGCAAAAATGCCTTTTCCTAAAGCATGAAATTGAGTATTTAGGCTGACGTATTAGCGCACAGGAAATTCTTCCTGACCTATCGGGATTGCGTGCTGTAAAGGAATTAAAACCGTCGACTAATTTAAAGCAACTAGAAGCCTTCATGGGTAAGGTAAACTACTACTGCAATTTCATACCAAACTTCTCCGAGCTGTCCGCACCACTCAACCAGCTGCGTAGAAAAAATGTAGAGTTCACTTGGGGTCCAAATCAACAAAACGCCTTCGACGCACTTAAGTCTCACATCATCAACGCAACACAATTAGCTCATTTTCATGAGGAATTGCCTGTTATCTTAGCAACAGATGCATCAGAACATGGTATCGGTGCAGTCTTATCAAACATCCAGCCTGACGGAATGGAACGCCCCATCGCTTTCGCATCTAAAACACTTGATCAGCATCAAGTCAACTACAGTCAAATCGATAAAGACGGGTTGCTATAATCTTCGGCGTAAAATATTTCCATCAGTATCTTTATGGGAGAAAGTTTATTCTAATAACAGACCACAAACCGCTTGTAAATATTTTCAGCCCTAGTAAGCATTTACCTACGATTGCTTCACGTCGACTGCAACGCTGGGCAATCACATTGATGGCTTATTCCTTTGACATCATGTATCGTACTACATCCGCACATGGCAATGCTGACGCATTATCACGCCTTCCTGTTGGAAATGATGAACAATTTGATAGGGAAGAGGCATGCTACAATATCACCGATATTACACCTCCTATCAATGCCGACGTCATACGGAAACACTGCGAAAACGATCCAACGACTAAAAAAGTCCGCAACTATGTTATTAACGGTTGGCCGGAAAAACTCTCTAAAAAAGACGACGACCTAAAGCCATATTTTAACAAGAAAATCAGTTTAGTCTCACTACAAGATAATCTGTGTCTACAATCGGAAGCAACCCGCATCATAATTCCGAGTTCTTTAAGACCTGTCATCTTAAAGCTACTTCATGATGGTCATTGGGGAATCATAAGAATAAAGCAAGCAAGCAGACAACATGTTTGGTGGCCTGGTCTTGACGACGACATTTCAAAATTGGCTTCAACTTGTGATATTTGTAAACGCAACAATTCATCGCCAGTGAAACAGTTCCAAAGTTGGCCAAAGGCTACTACGCCTTGGGAACGAATACACATTGATTTTGCTGGTCCAATTTTGAATTCAATGTGGCTGATGTGTGTCGATGCTTATTCACAGTTTCCTTTTGTTACAGAGCTATCTTCAACCACATCGCAAAGTACAATAGCAGCTCTTACAGATATTTTCGCCATTGAGGGATACCCAAAAACGTTAGTCAGCGATAACGGTCCTCAGCTTACATCCGACACATTCAAGGATTTTTGTAACAAACACGGAATAACGCACATCACAACAGCCCCATTTCATCCAGCATCGAATGGGTTGGCCGAACGGTTCGTACAACAATTTAAAACATCTATAACAAAAAACATTCAAGAGGGACATAAAACTAAAATGGCAGTAATTAAGTATCTAGCTTCATATCGATTCACACCGAATGCAGACAACAAAACCCCAGCTGAGTTACTTCACGGAAGACCAGTTCGCACCTTGTTGAGTCAACTTTTTGAGCAATCACACGACAATCATCGTAGCCATCATTCCGAAAAGTACGCAATTGATCAACAAGTCTTTGCACGAAATTACGCCAAGGGAGAAAAATGTGTAGAAGGTACCATAGTCCGTTCCCTGGGTAAAATGCTGTACATCGTAAATACACACGTATTTGGTCATATCAGACGCCACATCAACGAACTCAAGCCGAGATTTGGTCCAGAAACCACTGAACAGATACGTCTGAATTCTGGTGGCATCATTACTTGGAAAACTCATCGTCACCAACAGAGCAACGATCTACATCGCCATCGCTAAGTGCTTCCCAACCACTAGAAGCCCTACAGCCATCTTCAGCATCACGGTCAGCAGTCTTGCCTTCGCAACCGGAAGTCCGACAAGGTTCCAGCCACCGCCGCTCTGGCATTCCTGTTCGAAGAAGCATTCGGTGTCGCCAGCTTCCCAACCGCTACAGTCCTACTAACATTAGAAATAACTAACAGCGAATGTGTTGTAATTTAAGGGAGGAGATGTTGTACATCCTCATATACATAAAATAGCTTTTAACCATTCGCACTTGTTAACGTTGCTCCAGTACTCATTGTCAATGTACTCATTCACATATGCCACTAACAAAATACTAATACACAGTCAGTCTAGAATAAACGCTGATTCTTGCAAGTAGACTCAAACATCTCTCGCATCATTTATTGCTCGGCCACCCCAAATACAACAGTAGCGTTCTATCTTGTTTTATTCTGATACATCCCCACACTCCCCCGCAATTCGAGTTTTTTTTATAAGTTCCGTAATTCTTAGAATTGTTAGTGCTTATGTGTCCGTATGCCAAGTGCCAGCATGATAGGTCAATCCTGAAGAAAGTTAGCCATAAATAAAATCGCTGCCCATGCTCTGCTTGCAGCGCTGCCCGCAGATGTTGTTGTTGCTGCTTGGGTTCAACATTGTGCTGCATACATACACGCATATAAACACGCAGAGACACGATTCTGATGTAAATGTATGCTGGTGAAACTGTACATGAACATGTCTTTAATTTAATTAATATACTTTTTATAGCCTGTACCCAAAGGGTGAAAGGCTATACTAGTTGCGCGCAGGTACAATGTAACACACAGAAGGAGGCGTGGCAGACCCCACAAAGTATATATATTATTGATCAGGATGACAAGACGAGTCGATATAGCTATGTCCGTCTGTCCGTCCGTCCGCCTGTCCGTCCGTTTGTATGAGCGCAAGGATCTCAGAATATAAACATATAAACGCGCATAGACACGTGGTGTAAATATATGCTGTTAAAACTGAATATAAACATGTCGTCTATGTATGTATTAAATACATTTTCATTATTAATTTAATTAATTAATTCAATTTTTATAGCCTGTACCCAAAGGGTGAAAGGCTATACTAGTTTTGTGCGCATGTATGTAACACACAGAAGGAGGCGTGGCAGACCCCACAAAGTATATATATTATTGATCAGGATGACAAGACGAGTCGATATAGCTATGTCCGTCTGTCCGTCCGTCCGCCTGTCCGTCCGTTTGTATGAGCGCAAGGATCTCAGAATATAAACATATAAACGCGCATAGACACGTGGTGTAAATATATGCTGTTAAAACTGAATATAAACATGTCGTCTATGTATGTATTAAATACATTTTCATTATTAATTTAATTAATTAATTCAATTTTTATAGCCTGTACCCAAAGGGTGAAAGGCTATACTAGTTTTGTGCGCATGTATGTAACACACAGAAGGAGGCGTGGCAGACCCCACAAAGTATATATATTCTTGATCAGGATGAGAAGCCGAGTGGATATAGCCTTGTCCGTCCGTCCGTCTGTCCGTATGAACGCAAGGATCTCAGAAAGTATAAGAGCTACAATAACCAAACTTGGTTTCCATATTCTCCTAAGACCGAGAAAGTACGAGTTTGAGTTTTTTTTCGATGCACCCCCCACTCCCCCGCAATTCGTGTTTTTATACCCTGTACCCAAAGGGTACAAGGGTATATTAGTTTAGTGCGAGTGCACATGGAACACACAGAAGGAGGCTTGGTAGACCCCACAAAGTATATATATTCTTGATCAGCATGACAAGCCGAGTCGATATAGCCATGTCCGTCTGTCCGTCTGTCTGTCTGTCCGTCTGTCCGTCTGTCTGTCTGTATGAACGCAAGGATCTCCGAAAGTATAAGAGCTAGAATAACCCAACTTGGTATACAGATTCTCCTGAGACCGAGAAAGGACGAGTTTGTTCATTTTTTCTGATCCACCCCCCCACTCCCCCCCTATTACTGATTTTCTATAACTCCCGTAATTCTTGGAATTTTGAACTAAAATTTGGTAGTCACATTAGGTTAGTAATTATATAACCGTATACCAAGTCTCATTATGATATAATGATCGGAAAGAAAGTTATAGCCATATAACCAGGCTCAATGCACACATACATACATATGTACAAGTACACAAACACGCATAGACACGATTCTGATGTAATTGTAAATGTATGTATGCATGCATGGAATATTTTATATTTAATTAGTTAATATTTAGTTAATTAATTAAATTAATTAAGTTAATTAATTTAATTAAATTAATTAATTAATTTAATTACTTTTTTGTGGGGTGGTACAGGGTATTTAAGAGTTGAGCCTGCTCGACTTTAGCATTCCTTTCTTGTTTCTTATAACTTCCGTAATTCTCGGAATTTTGAAATTAATTTTGTTAGGTACATCCAGTTAGTACTAATGTGTCCGTGTGCCAATTTCATCATGATACGTCAATCCTGAAGAAAGTTATAGCCATAAGTAAAATCGCTGCTCATGCGCTGCCTGCAGCTTTGTCGGCAGCGCTGCCCGCAGCTGTTGTTGTTGTTGCTGCTTTGGTTCAACTTTGTGCTGCATACATACACGCATATAAACACGCATAGGTACGTGATGTAAATGTATGCTGTTAAAACTGAACATAAACATGTATTCTAATTTAATTAATTAATTAATTCATTCATTTTTTTAATAATTTAATTTTTTTTTTAATTTTTTTTTTTTTAATTTTTTTTTTTTTTCATTTTTTTTTTTGTGGAGAGTACAGGCTATTTTACTGTCGGGCTTGCTCGACTGTAGCGTTCTATCTTGTTTTCACCTTTTTAAAATAAAAACTAGGTAAAGTAGTAAGCAGTTGTAACTTACCAGAAAGCATTGAATTAAAGATGAGTGCCGGAAAATAATGGTGGAAATAAAGTACACGGCCCATAGCCCAGAATGGCAAATAATGAATCAGCCACCCCACAAAAAGCCACGAAGCTGCTTTCAAAGAGCGCGTTCTCATTTTTTGTATGGTATAAGGAAGTGAAACTCCATCATGGCCTTTTCGACGTTCCGTAATAGTATTACAAAGGAAAACGTAGATAAACAACATCAAGAACACTAAATTGGTCCACCATATTATTGGATTTCCGAGAAGGTAAATTCGGTAAGTACTGCCAGAAAAAAATTGTCCCTAAAAATAAGGCAAGCTAGTTTATTAAAATAGAAGTATCTATCCTATTTAATAATTAATATATATGTTTTTATAAAATTTTTTTTTAGCCTTTACCCAAAGGGTACGTTTTGTGCGAATGTATGTAACATACAGAAGGAGGCGTGGCAGACCCCACAAAGTATATATATTATTGATCAGGATGACAAAACAAGTCGATATAGCCATATCCGTCTGTCCGTCCGTCTGTATAAGCGCAAGGATCTCAGAAGGTACAAGAGCTAGAATTACCAAACTTGGTATCCAGGTTCCCCTAAGCCCTAGGCAGGTCAAGTTTATTTTTATAGCCTGTACCCAAAGGGTGAAAGGCTATACTAGTTTTGTGCGCATGTATGTAACACACAGAAGGAGGCGTGGCAGACCCCACAATAGAATAACCAAACTTGGTTTGCATATTTTCCTAAGACCGAGAAAGTACGAGTTTGAGTTTTTGTTCGATGCACCCCCCCACTCCCCCGCAATTCATGTTTTTTCTTATAACTTCCGTAATTCTCGGAATTTTGATTTTGGTAGGTACATCCAGTTAGTACTAATATGTCCGTGTGCCAAATTTCATCATGATAGGTCAATTTTGAAGAAAGTTATAGCCATAAGTAAAATCGCTGCTCATGCGCTGCCTGCAGCTCTGTCTGCAGCGCTGCCCACAGCTGTTGTTGTTGTTGCTGCTTTGGTTCAACTTTGTGCTGCATACATACACGCATATAAAAACGCATAGGTACGTGATGTAACTGAACATAAACATGTATTCTAATTTAATTTAATTAATTCATTCATACATTCATTTTTTTTAATAATTTAATTTTTTTTTTTAATTTTTCCATTTTGTGGAGAGTACAGGCTATTTTACTGTTGGGCTTGCTCGACTGTAGCGTTCTATCTTGTTTATTCTGATATACCCCCACACTCCCCCGCATTTCCTGTTTTTTTTTTTATAAATTTCGTAATTCTGGAAATTTTGAAATCAATTTTGGTAGTTACATCAAGTTAGTGATAATGTGTCCGTGTGCCAGGTTTCATCATGATAAATATATTCTGAAAAAAGTTATAGCCATAAATAAAATCGGTGCTCATGCGCTGCCTGGCAGCGCTGCCCGCAGCTGTTGTTGTTGTTGCTGCTTTGGTTCAACTTTGTGCTGCATACATACACGCATAGGCACGTGATGTAAATGTATGCTGTTAAAACTTAACATAAACATGTCTTCTGATTTAATTAAATTAATAATAAACAAATCTATCAAAAATTTGTATACTCTGTACATGAAATGTACAGAAGTATATTAGGTTTGCGGGAGCTGAAAAATGTAACACGCAGAAGGAGGCGTGGCAGACCCCACAAAGTATATATATTCTTGATCAGCATGATGAGACGAGTCGATCTAGCCATGTCTGTCAGTCTGTCCGTATATTTTGGAATTTCCCTCCCTCCCCCCTCTCCGCGCAAATTGCGATTTTCTCTAGCTCCCGTAATTCTTAGAATTTCGAACTAAAATTTTGGAAATACTCCCAGATGGTTATTATGTGTCAGTGTGCCAAATTTCACTATGATAGACCGATTTAACAAGAAGTTATAGCCATAAATATATTTGCTGCTGCAGCGCTGCTCAAGCGCTGGTCGCGGCTGTTGCTGATGCTGGTACTTTGGTTGACCTCACACATGTTTACACAGACACGAATAGCGGCGCATAGGCATACATACACTCACACAGACGCAATTGCTATGTAAATGTGCAATTATATACCATTTACGTGAGTTCGAATACCGAGAAAGGTAAAATCGATCAAATTTTTTTTTTTAATTTTCTTAATTTTTTTTATACTCTGTACATGAAATGTACAGAAGTATATTAGGTTTGCGGGAGCTGAAAAATGAAACAGACAGAAGGAGGCGTGGCAGACCCCACAAAGTATATATGTACATGAAATGTACAGAAGTATATTAGGTTTGCGGGAGCTGAAAAATGAAACAGACAGAAGGAGGCGTGGCAGACCCCACAAAGTATATATATTCTTGATCAGCACGACAAGACGAGTCGATCTAGCCCTGTCTGTCTGTCTGTCCGTCCGTCCGACTGCCCGTCTGTCCGTCCGTATGAACACCTAGATCTCAGAGACTATAAGAGATAGAGACACCAAATTTTGCACAAAGATGCCTTATGTGTGTATTCTATACGAGTTTGTTTTATTTTTTGGATTCCCCCCCCCCCCCCCCCACTTCATCCCTATGGGAGTTTTCCCGATTTTCCATTCGTATAATCGCCTATATCTCGGAGACTATAAAACCTAGGAACACCAAATTTTAGTCCCAGATGCCTTATGTGAATACGCAGAAAATGTATATTTTGGAATTTCCCTCCCTCCTCCCTCTCCCCCGCAATTGCGATTTTCTCTAACTCCCGTAATTCTTGGAATTTCGAACTAAAATTTTGGAAATACCCCCAGTTAGTTATTATGATGATAAACTGATTTAACAAGAAGTTATAGCCATAAATATATTTGCTGCTGCAGCGCCGCCCGCGGCTGTTGTTGATGCTGGTGCTTTGGTTGACCTCACACATGTTTACACAGACACGAATAGATGCGCATAGGCATACATACACTCACACAGACGCAATTGCTATGTAAATGTGCAATTATAAACCCTTTACGTGAGTTCGAATACTGAGAGAGGTAAAATCGATCAAATTTTCTTTTTTTTATTTTCTTAATTTTTTTTCATTTTCTATAATTATTGTAAACATATGTACATAGTATTTCAAAGTCGGGACATCCGACTTTATTTTTTTACTTGTTCATTATAATTCGGAAAATTCCCATTAGTTAGTGATGAGTACGTCAAAAGTAAGACTGAAAAATAAAATAGAGTCAAAGTGTTTTTGTTTGCGGGAATAAGAAGTATTTAATAACCGAATATAATAATGCTGCCGAAAAAATCAAACCTTAGTAATGTGTGTAGCAGAAATACAGCCCGCTGGGATTGGGCTCAGAGAGCTCAAGAGTCAGAAAAACTCACGCAACTCACCGAATCAGAACAGCAGATATTCGCAGACGTCAATATCAAGAATAGCATAATGAACGTATGAGACAACATGAATCGAGTAGAATAGCTGCGCATCAATCCAATTAATCGTAAATTTTCCATTACTCCCGTTATTCTCGGAATTTTCAATTCAAATTCGGCAGTCAAATCCATTCCGTACTTATGTATTCTCTTGTTAAGTTCATCACGATATGTCAAATGTATCGGTCCTTATGGTAATGAGTCAAACCTCAGCTCATGCTCTTCCCATAGCTGTTTGTGTTTTTGCTGCTTTGGCACAACTCTGCACACATTCGCGATCACAGAATCACGCATTGACTATGTATGTCAATATTGTAAATGTATTTTCTGCAAGACTGCATTTACGTGCTGTGTAATTCTGTACCCAAAGGGTGAAAGGATACACTAGTTTTCTACGAATATATACAACACACAGAAGAAAGCGTGGCAGATTCCCAAAAGTATATACTCGCACCTATATTCTTGATCAGGATGACAAGATGAGTCGATCGAGCCCAGGGGAGTGGAGGGAAGAAGAAAAATTCTTAAGTACACATTTTCTGCGTATTCATGTAAGGTCAAACCATCTGGGACTAAAATTTGGCCTTATAATCTCCGAGATATAGGCGCTACGGAAAATCATATAAAATTGCACAGCGCACACACATAAGCAAACTTTGTGCAAAATTTGGCATCTCTACCTCTAATAGTCTCTGATGTGCAGGTGTTCATACGGACAGACAGCCAGACAAACAAGGTTACATCGATTCGTCTGCTCATGCTGATATTTTTTGCATGATATTACGACTATTTAACATTTTTATATAACTGGCCACTTACAGAATTTTAAGACTGTAAATAATTATACTCTGTACCCAAAGGATAAAAGGGTATACTATTCTCCTTCTCTGTCTCCAGACGTGGCAGATCCCACAAAGTATATATATTTTCTATATATTCAGCAAAGACTATAACAGCTCAAGATAAGATTATATGAACATGCAGCTATGTGTATTTTGGAATTTCCCTCGATCCCGTCCGTATGCAAAGTTTCATCATGGTAGGAGTATTTTAAACTAAGTTATAGCCATAAATGTAATCCTGTACAAGCTCTGCCCGCAGTTGTTATTGTTGTTGCTGCTTTGCCTCAACTCTGTGACGGTTGAAAAACTATAATTTTCTCACTGCCCAGAGTAAATTAAAAAATGACGGGGTGAACATAGTCAAGCAGGTAGTTGGCGTTTGTGTACATTTTAACAGTAACTTTATGTTTTTAGAGGATGTTGAACACTTAAGGCATTATTGAGAAAAAAGTAATTGTACATCTTTTACTTACTCGATAGTTAATGGGCCATTGCCAAGGTCGACTTGTAATTTCTCCATCCTTGGGCTTAAGCCCAGCGTTACCCTGTAACATGACCGCGTGAGACTCAAAGAAGCGGTCAAAAAAACCAGGCGCGTATGCACTGAAATTTACACTTGGAACTTTAAAAAATGATATTAGTCAAACAGCATTAACGATGATGCATATTTAAGTCGTACGTTTGAAGTGTTGATTGCCCTCTACATTCCATTGGGCATTTTTATCACGGATGTTTAGGTTACAGGTCACTTCCTGCTGTTCAAATCCCCATTTTGGAAGTTGTTTACCACTTGATGTTAGTGCACAGTTTTGAAGGTAGTGCACAAAGATCAACTTTGATGTTATCGTCTGAATGGTGTCATTTGCTTTCCCTCCAATGATGAAAACACGCCAAATGTCGTTAGAATCTCCCATACCAGACTGCAACGAATACCAATTAACAACTGTAAAATAGTTTTTACAATTTTTACAATTAAAAAAACACTGCATACATGGTTTTTCACAATTTTTCCTGAGGCATGAGAAAGGGGGGTTTTCCCGTGGGAAAATTTAAACACAATCAACACCCCACAGCCCAAACTGTAAGAGCTACGAAGCTGAAATTTGAGCACAAGTATCCCATCATAAATTTTGGTAAATTCGAGCTCCAAGTGGGGGAAAACGAGCTCCAAAGTTTGTTTGAAAAATCCGCATTGTTCTAAGAATCATATTCGGCTCTTATAATCTCTAGAAACATGCAAATGCAACTGCATACACGGTTTCTCGAAATTTGTGTTGGAGCTTGATTTAATGGGGTTTTAATATTTATTAACTTTTTCAAATGAGTTTGTGTTATGAATTTTTTCCGATCGATTTCAAATTTGGGTAATGTAAAATACGAAACTAAATCTACAACTTTACATTCAAGGATTTTCAAAATATAGAAATACGGGTTTCGCTTTACAAATGCAGGCAGAACAAACAACATAAAATGCATTTCATATAGTTGGGGACAACTTAGTATACATACACACATACACACACACACACACAAGCACACACACATACAAGCAGCTGTTCGTGTAGATTTGTGCAAACGATTGGAATAGCCAAAGCAAACTGTGAGACACTAATGTATGAATGTATGCACACATCTACATATGTATGTATGTACATTCGTCTTGCATTGACAAGGCAAGAAATATTATTTAATTAAAAATTTTTTAACATTTTTATTACTGGGTGAAAGGCTATACTAGTTTTGTGCGAATGTATGTAACACACAGAACGAGACGTGGCAGACCCCACAAAGTATGTATATTATTGATCAGGATGACAAGACAAGTCGATATAGCCATGTCCGTCTGTCCGTCCGTCCCTCCGTCTGTCTGTATGAGGGCAACGATCTCAGCAAGTACAATAGCTAGGATAACCAAACTTGGCATTCAGGTTCCCTTAAGCCCTAGGCAGAACGAGTTTGTGCTTTTTTCTGATACACCCCCCACTCCCCCGCAATTCGTGTTTTTCCTAACTCCGGTAATTCTTAGAATTTTGTCCGTATGCCAAGTGCCATCATGATAGGTCAATTATGAAGACAGTTATAGCCATAAATAAATCACTGCTCATGCACTGCCTGCAGCTCTGCCGGCAGCGCTGCCCGCAGCTGTTGTTGTTGTTGCTTCTTTGGTTCAACTTTATGCTGCATACATACACGCATAGGCACGTGATGTAAATGTATGCTATTAAAACTGAACATAAACATGTCTTCTAATTTAATTTAATTAATTAATTAATTCAATTTTTTTTAATAATTTAATTCTAAAGAAACATTTTTTCTATTTAAATTTTTCTTTTTTGTGGAGAGTACAGGCTATTTTACTGTCGGGCTTGCTCGACTATAGCGTTCTCTCTTGTTTTTAATAATTTAATTTTTAAAAAAAATTTTTCTTTTATAATTTTTCTTTTTTGTGGAGAGTACAGGGTATTTTACTGTCGGGCTTGCTCGGCTGTAGCGTTCTCTCTTGTTAAAAGTAATTTTTCATTAATAACTTTTGTTTTCGTTATTTTTATGCATATGATATGTTGTAATATTTTTTTTTCAATGGTCTCCAAATTTATAGTACATACTCATACTCATATGTATGTAACTAGAGCCGAATAAAATAATATTGATAATTGAAACCGAATGAATGAAAATCGAATTTTCTTTTTACTCTACAAGTACATGTATGTACATCCAGTTTGTGGTTATTTGTCCGTATCCGTATGCCAAGAGTTATCATGAAGAATGTTATAGCCATAAATAAAATCGCTGCCCATGCTCTGCTTGCAGCGCTGCCCGAAGCTGTTGTTGTTGCTGCTCTGGTTCAACTTTGTGCTGCATACATACACGCATATAAACACGCAGAAACACGATTCTGATGTAAGTCTATGCTGTTGAAACTGTACATGAATATGTCTCCACTATCGTATATATGTATTGAATTTTTTTGTTTTTTTCTGTTTAATCAAAGCATTGAAGCCTTCAGAATAGCACCTTAACAATACATTTTTACAAATATAAAATAGCCTAACCTCGAGCACTTCCAATATGTATTGAATAATTTGTATTTAATTTAATAAAATAATTTAATTAATATAATTTTCAATTTTTTTTCGTTTTTTCCGTTTTGGTGGGAGGTAACATTTCTTCCTAGTTTCACCTTATTAGTAACCAGCAGGAAGGCATTTAAGGTATTTAAAAGAACATTTTCTGTTCTTGACAAAAAATTGTTAAGTTAGTCCGTTACATCTTTGTTCTTGTAACTTATATTATTTTAAGCTCGTTTTCCCCCCTTTCGATTCGAATTTTCCAAAAGCCTTTCTTAGTGCGCACCTACACTATGATGGATACTATGGAAAGATACTTGAGCCCAAATTTCAGCTTCCTAGCTTTTACCGTTTGGGCTGTGCGTTGATCACCAATCAGTCAGGACAAACTGTTTGATATATATAGAGATAACGCAACGTTTTAAGATAGACTATGTGCAAAAAAGGGGAATAATGTATATGCTAGTTTTAAATCCACATTTGTATCTTTTCGTGCCTTATTGAGTCAATACGATCACGCTCGAGCTCGGAATATGAAACACGGCACTCGTGCCAATGCCGTGCAGCGATGAGCCACGATCAAAAAGTACTAACAATGCCCATCTCAATTTGCTAGAGTAAAACTTTCGATAGTTGAATCCACCGATACTATCGATATCGATACATCGAAGTTTGAATGCAATAAACAGAATATCTAAATAATAATTTATTGAGATCAATTAGAATAAATCATATACATGTGTACATACTTGCACATACATACATCTGCCCGCATTGCGAAGCAGAATATGCGTAGCTCCGTTATTCGGTTTCTGCTTTACTATCGCTTACTTAGTCGTTACCTAGCGACGGTAACTGTAAACTTTTGCCTTTATGGACCTGAAAAATGTAACAGGCAGAATAAGGCGTGGCAGATTCATTTTTGGTGATATGTAAAATGATGTTGAATTTGTTGCTGTTAAAGTAACTTTTCCGTCTTTTGCTCTTTACATCACTTGCTCTTCCGATATTCAGGTTTATACTTGTATGCAACATATAACTTGTATTAAAGGAATTTCCACTCATCTCCGTGACAGTGCTCATGCTCTGCTTGCAGCGCTGCCCGCAGCTTTTATTGTTGTTGCTGATTTCTTTGTGCTACATACATACACGTATATAAACAAGTAAAAAAGCTAAAGTCGAGGGTCCCGACTTTGAAATACTCCGTACATATGTTTACAATAATTATAGAAAATAAAAAAATTAAGAAAATTAAAAAAACAAAAAAAAATGTGTTCGATTTTACCTTTTTCGGTATTCGAACTCACGTAAAGGGTGTATAATTGCACATTTACATAGCAATTGCGGTTGTGTGAGTGTATGTATGCCTATGCGCATCTATTCGTGTCTGTGTAAACATGTGTGCAGTCAGCCAAAGCACCAGCATCAACAACAGCCGCGGGCAGCGCTTGAGCAGCGCTGCAGCAGCAAATATATTTATGGCTATAACTTCTTGTTAAATCGGTCTATCACAGTGAAACTTGGCGTACGGACACATAATTTTTAACTGGGGGTATTTACAAAATTTTAGTTTGAAATTCCAAGAATTACGGGAGTTAGAGAAAATCGCGATTTGCGGGGGAGAGGGGGGAGGGAGGGAATGTCCAAAATACACATTTTCTGCGTATTCTCATAAGGCATGTGGGACTAAAATTTTTACAGTCTCTTAGATATAGGCGATTATACGAATGGAAAATCGGGAAAACCCCCATAGGAGGGAAGTGGGGGGGGGGGGAAATCAAAAAAATAAAACAAACTTGCACAGCGTACACATATAACGCATCTTTGTGCAAAATTTGGTGTATCTAGCTCTTATAGTCTCTGAGATCCAGGTGTTCATACGAACAGACAGACAGACAGGGCTAGATCGACTCGTCTCGTCATGCTCATCAAAAATATATGTACTTTGTGGGGTCTGCCACGCCTTCTTCTGCCTGTTACATTTTCAGCTCCCGCAATCCTGATATACTCTTGTACATTTTCGCTAACTCCCGTAATTCTTGGAATTTCGAACTAAAATTTTGAAAATACCCCCAGTTGGTTATTATGTGTCCGTATGCCAAGTTTCGCTATGATAGACCGATTTAACAAGAAATTATAGCCATAAATATATTTGCTGCTGCAGCGCTGCTCAAGCGCTGCCCGCGGCTGTTGTTGATGCTGGTGCTTTGGCTGACTGCACACATGTTTACACAGACACGAATAGATGCGCATAGGCATACATACACTCACACAACCGCAATTGCTATGTAAATGTGAAATTATACACCCTTTACGTGAGTTCGAATACCGAAAAAGGTAAAATCGAACACATTTTTTTTTGTTTTTTTAATTTTCTTAATTTTTTTATTTTCTATAATTATTGTAAACATATGTACGGAGTATTTCAAAGTCGGGACCCCCGACTTTAGCTTTTTTACTTGTTTTTTTTTTTGTGGAGAGTACAGGCTATTATACTGTCGGGCTTGCTCGACTGTAGCGTTCTCTCCTGTTTAAAATTAAATTATTAAAAAAAAATTGAAGTATTTAATTAATTAATTAAATTAAATTAGAAGACATGTTTATGTTCAGTTTTAACAGCATACATTTACATCACGTGCATATGCGTGTATGTATGCAGCATAAAGTTGAGCCAAAGCAGCAACAACAACAACAGCTGGGGCCAGCGCTGCCAGCAGAGCTGCAGGCAGTGCATGAGCAGCGATTTATTTATGGCTATAACTTTCTTCATAATTGACCTATCATGATGACACTTGGCATACGGAGAAATAACCACGAACTGGATGTATATGCCAAATTTCAGTCCAAAATTCCATGAATTACCGGAGTTAGGAAAAACACGAATTGTGGTTGAGTGGGGGGGGGGGGGGGTGTATCAGAAAAAAAAACACAAAGTCGATCTGCCTGGGGCTTAGGGGAACCTGAATGCCAAGTTTGGTTATCCTAGCTATTGTACTTGCTGAGATCGTTACGCTCATACAGACAGACGGAGGGACGGACAACAGACGGACATGGCTAAATCGACTCGGCTGCTCATCCTGATCAATAATATATATACTTTGTGGGGTCTGCCACGCCTCTTTCTGTGTGTTACATACATTCGCACAAAACTGGTATAGCCTTTTACCCTTTGGGTACAGGCTATACAAATATTTGTTATAGTGGTCATGTGGATGTACGTTCAACGAAATATTTTTGCAAGAACAAAGATGTAACGGAATACTAAACAAATTTTTGTCAAGAACAGAAAATGTTCATTTAAATACCTTACAATCCTTCCAACTGGTAACTAATAAGAGGAAAACATATAGGTAGGTCATGCACATACAAAATAAATATAATTCGAAACATTATATTGAGCCGGGTTAAGATGGATAATATCTGGTGGTATGTACATATATCGGTCCTTAATTTTAAGGAGTACCATATACACATGTATTCAAGCATAAATTAAATATCGACTTTCACCTAATTATTCGATTTACAAAGAAAAATATGTGTACTCATTTACTGTGTATACGGATTCGTGTTTTTTACAGCCAATTACGTGATCGAGCTGTGACGGGCCGAAAAAAGCCGATACATACCCATCTCTAACATCTCAGCTGATCGCATATTTACAAGCGATTTACCGTTTGTGTTAAACGGTTGCGTTAGCTAACAACGCTACAAATGTATGTACGCGGCCCGGCGCGTAATGAAGTTATGTATATATTTAGAGTGCTTTAGAGTGTCGGCGAGAAATATCATATCTATATATATATATATTATATATATATATATATATATATATATATATATATATATATATATATATATATATATAGGTATATATATATATATATATATATATAAAACAGTTTGTCCTGACTGACTGACTGATTGTCAATCAACGCCAAATTCAAACACCAAAGGGGGGAAAACGGGCTCACAAAATTGTATGAAAAATCTGCAATTTTCATTTGATTGGCTTCAAACTTGGCTTGCGTATAAGTTGTGTGTACAAGAATAACTCAAAAAACCTTTGGAGCTCGAATTTTCCAAATCCCCTTCTTAGTGCTCACCTGCACTATGATGGGATACTTGAGCTCAAATTTCAGCTTCCTAGCTGTTGTCGCTTGGACTACGGAATGTTGACGTGGTTTCCTTTTGTGTCCCATGAAAGCCCCTATAATTCAGTCTCCAAGAAAAAATTCAGAAAACCGATTATGCAGTTTATTTGTATTTATAGCCTTTACACAAAGGGTAAGGTACTAGTTTCGTGCGAATGTATGTAATAGACAGAAGCAGGCATGACAGACCCCACAAAGTATATATATTCTTGATCAGGGTGACAAGCTGAGTCGATATAGCCATGTCCGTCTGTCCGTCCGTCTGTATGAGCGCAAGGATCTCAGAAAATACAAGAGCTAGAATTACCAAACTTGTTATCCAGGTTCCCCTAAGCCCTATGAATGTCAAGTTTGTATTTTTCTTCTGATATACCCCCCCCCCCCCCCCCCCCCTCCACTCACCGCAATTCGTGTTTTTCATAACTCCCGTAATTTTTGGAATTTTTAACTGAAATTTGGTATATACATATGGTTATCTGTCCAAGTCATTGCCTATAATAACTATGTACTTACCTCTCCATAGCCAGTAACTTGTAAATGCTTTTTGGTCATGGGTGCTGGCTCATTATGTGAGTGTAAATTGCGCCGGGTTGTCAAGTGTTCTAGTCGGATTAGATCGCCGTGTTGAACCAGCTGTGGTTCCCGGCCTGAGGATTTATTATACGACTTAATAAGCCATTTGTTATTATCATCTTTGTGAGTATATGTTGTAACCTGGAATTGTGAAAACTATTAAATTAAAATATATTAATATAAAAGTGCTTTGCTTTTTTCGATTACCTGTTGCTGTCTGGCCCCCACTCCCTTCGGATAGAGATGGAAATGAGAATGTAAATATCCGCCTCCTGTTTTATGATTTTTAATTGTTACAACTGCGCCAAAAGCTACATCGCGCGGCATGCTAGCATTGTACAATGAATTTCCAACAAGTTGAGACTGGAAAGCAGAACTGTAAAAACCATCGCCATTTCCGCTGTGGTTGAGAACCCTCAAGTGGATGTAAAAGAAGACTGTGTAGAGAAAAATCGGCCAAAGAATCAATGCAAAAGCACGGCAAGTTGTCTGCTTAAGCGTCTCGATCTATAAACGGAAATTATTAGGTATAAGTATACAACAGCGGCAGTTAACGCGTATTTATCTTACTATTGGTTGCCTAAGGTCTCCAAGTATAAACCACAATTCACTTGCAGTGTGTAATCCAACCAGAAGGACCACAAATAACCCAACAAACTTTACACTTATAGTACATGCCAACATTGTGCCCGTGATCCAGAGCCAGAACCACCACTTCCATGTATATGATAACCCTCTGGCTGTAGCCTTTGTTATTTTTACCATGCCCCAAACGGAGCCCATCATGAAGAAGAGCAAAATGGGGTCTAACAGAATATACTGATTAAGAGTTAGCAGTCCAACATCTAAAAAATATTAAAATAGCTCGTTTTTATAACGCAACAGCAATTTTTAACGAAAATGTTACCAAAAACTAAGAAAGCAGCAGCTAACAGAGCTGCCTCGTTTGATCCTGTCAAATCATAGACCGTATCGAATCCAATTGGAATTATCAATGCACCGAGGGTAGTGCAGAACTAACCAAAAAAGGCATTTCGTTAAAGTCTGAAAAAAAAACATTTGCGCAACTTACATATCTCATTCCTTGATAACGGGTCTCATTATATTTGTCGCCAGGTTTTTCGAATGCAAACTTTCCATTGTAACCGGTCAAATAACCAGATAGCCCAATCAGCATCTTTATAAAATGTGAAACTATTATTTAATTTGCTAAGTTATATACAAAACTCTGCAATTTACTTTCCCTAATGGTGGATGCACGTCGAAAAAAAATGTTCGATTTATATACCAGCTGCCCATTTTACCAAAGTGTGTTTCATCCCAGCTGCAAAGTACAAATGATAAAATGAGAAGTGGCACTTGTTTATAGAAAGGCTCACCATATATGATCGGGTTCTGTTACTTTGTAAAAGCGTGTACAGAGAGTTGCCAAGCAAACAGCACCAAATAACGCCCACCAGCGTATTCTAACACATAATTGGTTTAAGATATAAAGTAGAAATTATAGCATATACCAGTACATTTTTACTCACCCATTAAAATTCGGTAAGTCAATGTGTCCGCCTTGCTTATTGTCGCTTTTCGTATCTGTAACCATTTTATTTTGCTGTTTATAAAACGTTGCTGATGATAATTTAATTATAACAACCAATATAATTTTTTAATGTTTCTCTCTCTCTAATAGGCATCATGAGCTCAACCACAAAAAAACGACTGGTATTTGTTGTCACAAAGTTTTCAAGCAATACACCTACTTTCTCTTTGTGCTGGCAGACGACTGTAAAGAAGAAGAATAAACCAGTTTGGATACGTGCTGTTTGTTGCCATGCTCGGGTCGACAGTGCACCTAACAAAACCAGTAATTTTAAATTAAATTTTTCGGGTATAGATGTTATCTTTGCCAGCAACTGCTGAACCTTCTTTTGTAATAAAATAAAAGTGTGTGCATAGGTACAATGCATTTGTCGAATTTTAATACTCTGTACATGAAATGTACAAGAGTATATTAGGTTTGCGGGAGTTGAAAAATGTAACAGACAGAAGGAGGCGTAGTAGACCCCACAAAGTATATATCTTCTTGATTAGCATGACAAGACGGGTCGATCTATGTATGTCTGTATGCCCGCAGCTGTTGTTGATGCTGGTGCTTTGGTTGACTGCAAACATGCTCCCACAGACACGAATAGACATGCATACATAAATGTGCAATTATACACCCTTTTTTTTCATTTTTTTTCCATTCGTATAACCGCCTATATCTCGGAGACTATAAGACCTACGGACACCAAATTAGTCCCACATGCCTTATGTGAATACGCATAAAAAAAATATTTTGGAATTTCCCTCCCACCCCCCTCTCCCATGCGAATCGCGATTTTCTCTAACTCCCGTAATTCTTGGAATTGGGAACTGAAATGGGAAATATTGGGAATTGGGAAATACCCCCAGTTAGTAATTATGTGTCCGTACGCCAAATTTCATTATGATAGACCGATTTAACAAGAAGTTATAACCATAAATATATTTGCTGCTGCAGCGCTGCCCGCGGCTGTTGTTGATGCTGGTGCTTTGGTTGACTGCGAACATGCTTACACAGACACGAATATACGAGCACATACATACATACACTCACGTAGACGCTTTGTATATGTGTGCTGCTTGTGCTTATAAGCAACGTCCCCTGTTTTAGTTGTTTTCGGAAAGCTCGGCCTCTGTTAAAATAGGTAGACGGCTGTTACAGATGTATGTTGGGCAGCGCTCTCCGCGCGTTCTTTATATTGCAGGAGTTTTTGTTGGCACATATGAAGGCTTAAATGATAAAGGAATGGAGCTCTCTTTTGGTGGACTGGATATGAGAGTGTTAAATAAAACTAAATAGAAAATAGTTTCAGACTACTGCCGAAAGGAAAGTTAGAGAAGATATACTTGAGCTGTGCTTAAAATTCATCATTCAATGCAGCTGGCCGGCGCGTGCAAGAAATTAGCCAGACGCGAAGTCAGCAGTTTCTTGGTTTGTTGCAATGCATATTTCTTATTGTTCTCATTTGTTGAATTATTTATTGTTGTATTACATGTTTATTTTAATTCAATTATAAACTTATTTTATTTTTACTCCTCCCCCTTTAATTTGAGCTTGGCCTCAAGCTATCTCTAGAAGTAGGGAATGTTATTGAACTGCGGTAGCGGTTGTTGTACTTCTTTCAATGACTGGTCGCAGTTTGGTGGAGCGACGATTGCTGTGACATTTGTTTCCCTGCTTGGCGTATGCCTCATTTGCAGTGTTATAGTCCTCTGCTTTCTATTGTTCGTGTGTAAACCTAAGGTGATAAACAAGGCAAAAACGTTTTACCGTGATAGGTCAATTGTGAAGAAAGTTATAGCCACAAATATATCATCTACCGAAGCTTTGCCCGCAGCTTTTTCTGCTTGCATTGCACATACATATACACAGGTATTGCCCGTCTTAACCCGACTCAATATAATGTTTCAAATTGTATGTATTTATTTTGTGTGTGCATGACCCACCCATATGTTTTCACCTTATTAATTACCAGTAGGAAGGCATTTAAGGTATTTAAAAGAACATTTCCTGTTCTTGAAAAAATATTATTCAGTAGTCCGTTACATTTTTGTTCTTGCCAAACTATTTCGTTAAACGAACATGACCACTATAACTCATATTTTTTAAAGCTCGTTTTCCCCCCTTTGGAGCTAGAATTTTCCAAAAGCCTTTCCTAGTGTGCTCCTACACTATGATGGTTACTATGAAAGGATACTTGAGTCCAAATTTCATCTTTTACCGTTTGGGCTGTGCGTTGATCCCCAATTAGTCAGGACAAACTGTTTTATATATAGAGATAACGCAACGTTTTAAGATAGACTATGTGCAAAAAAGGGGTATATCCTAATTTTAAATTGACATTTGAGCCTTTTCGTGCCATATTGAGTCAATACGGTCACGCACAAACTCGGAATATGAAACACGGCACTCGTGTCAATGCCGTGCAGCGATGAGCCACGATCAAAAAGCACTGACAATTCTCATCTCAATTTGTTAGAGTAAAACTTTCGATAGTTGAAGCCACCGATACCATCAAAATATCGAAGTTTGAATGCAATAAGCAGAATATTTAAATAATAAAATCTAATTATTTATTGAGATCAGCATCATAAGAACAAATCATATACATACATACATATAGTTGTATACTAATTAGCGTTGCCAATTACCAACACTCCTCCTCAATGCTTATATGTATACAAATACAATTCTTTAACTTAAGCCGAGCAATGCAGTACAATTTTGATGCATATTCTTTGACAAGTTCTTTGTAAGAATATCAGCAACCATTTCTTTTGTTGGGCAGTACTTTATATCAATTTCATTGTTTTCATAACAATTACGAATATGGTGATACTTAATATCAATATGCTTGCTTCTAGCATGATACACTGGATTCTTTACAAGATTTATAGCACTAAGATTGTCACCATGCATTACAACAGAATCAAGCTTAAATGGTAAATACATTTCATCGCGTGCCCAATCTGCATCTGCATAGCCACAGATAGGCTCACCGGTCTGCTCGTATTTTAGCTTCAGATCCACTGTTGTCTTCAGGTACCGCAATACTTGTTTGGCTGCTGCTAAATGCTCACTATGCGGATTAGCATTTCTTTGTGACAGCTTGCATACGGAATGCAAAATGTCCGGCCTTGTAGATAGTGCAATATACATTAGAGAACCAATAACGGATTGATACTCTTTCTCGTCCACTTTCTTGCACTCAGAATTTTCGCAGCTAACTTGGAATTTATGGTCCAACGGAGTTGCTGCCGAGCGGCATTCGCTCATGCCAAACGTGTTGAGTAAGCCCAGAATATGTATTTTCTGGCTCACAAGGATTGTACCCGTATCACCCTCTCTCTCGATTTCCAGACCCAAAAAGTTTGCCACTGGACCTTTGTCTACTATCTGAAATTGAGAAGAGATAGCCTTTTTAGCCTTTACCATCTCACCTAGATCTGAGCACGCTAACATCATGTCGTCAACGTAAACTGCAATTACGTTGATGCTCTTCTTGTTCTTTGTGGTCTTCGTGTACAGGCATGGCTCACTTTCGCATGCCCTGTAGCCAATTTGTTCTAGGACGCTATTCAGTTTCTCGTTCCTTACGCGGCCTGACTGCTTCAGCCCGTAAAGTGATTTCTTCAGTTTCAGCACGTTGCCAGTATCATCATCAAATTGCTCGGGTTACTTCATATATACCGCTTCCTGAAGATCACCATTAAGGTACGCCGTTGATACATCTAGTTGGTGGACATGTAATTTACATTCAGCCGCCATAGCCAAGATCATGCGAATGGTTGCATATCTCACGACTGGAGAATATGTTTCATCATAGTCAATTCCAATCTTTTGACTACATCCTTTTGCCACCAAGCGTGCCTTGTATCTTTCGATATCGCCATCCGGACTTCGTTTTAGTGTAAATACCCATTTGCAGGATATGGGTTTTTTACCTGCCGGTAACATGACTGGCTGCCATGTTTCGTTCTTGAGTAACGCATTGCACTCCTCCTGCATAGCGCTCTGCCATTTATGCGCCTGTTGACTCGATAGCGCTTCTTCAACGGTTTCTGGAACTTGAATGTCGTCGCCGCACATCATATTGAGAACGTTGTACGCCTTGCGCGGTCGACCTCTTAATCCCGTTCTGATGATTCTTGGCCTGCCTGGACCAACTTTATCAGACACCTGTGTGTCATCTGCCGCAGTATGCCCTTCTGCAGCTTCGTCGCTTTGCTCATCGTCGTCCTCTTCACTGCTGCTGGATTCGCCGTTCTGCTCGCCTGTGCTTTCGAGTAGTACTTGCTCAGAATCAGTCAGCATCACAGATTCGACATTAACAGTTTCCTTTGTTTCGAAACTTTCCACAAAGTATACGTCACGGCTAAACTTCACGACACCAGTTTCTTTATCATACAGACGATATGCTTTCGATGTCTCTGAGTATCCCACCATTATATATCTTTGCCTTTCTCTTGGAATTTTTTCTTCTGCGTCTTGTCAAGTACAATAGCAATCGACCCAAAAATTCGTAGGTGCTTGACGATCGGTTTGTATCCCATCCATAGTTAAAATGGAGTCACGCCTACCAACGCTTTTGTAGGTGACCTGTTGCGCAGATATGATGCGTACGCAACAGCTTCAGCCAAAAATGATTCAGGAAGCCCTGCACTATTCAACATGGTTCGACCCATCTCCATTAGGGTTCTGTTGAATCTCTCAGCGACGCCATTTTGCTGTGGTGTATATGGGACCGTGAGCTGGCGCTTTATGCCTGTTGCCTTCAGATATTCTTCAAACTCCATGTTTGAATATTCCGTCCCATTATCACTCCTGATAGCTTTTACCTTTTTACCTGTCTGCCGCTCAACCATAGTTACATGTTGCTTAAATATTTGAAATACTTCTGACTTGTGTTTCAGAAAATAAACATGAACATATCGGCTATTGTCGTCAGTACTTCATGTTTGCGCATTCCACATATAAACAAACCATTAACTTTCTTGGCCGTAAGAACTAGACTTTTG